GACTATTTTTGAATATCCCCCCTGCAAAGGGACACGCCCGACTTAAGGCTACCCTTACGCGCCGCCAGTTCCTCAGCAGCGCCTGCTTGGCAGGCCTGAGGCCGGTGAGCAGGGGCAGCATGGCCTCTGCGCCGAACGTCTGGTAGACGGCCACCGCCAGGGCCACCGCCCTGTCGCGCACCCGCTGCCCCAGCGCGTCGTCCATGCCAGCTGCGATGAAGGGCGCGACGTCATCCTGCGTCCACGAGTCCGCCGAGCCACGACCAACACCGCTCTCGGACAGGTCGTCGTCCTCGGCGCACTCGGGCCGGTGCGGCTCCGTGCCGCCGCGGCGCCCGGGGAAGTGCTCCAGCAGAACGCCGATCGCGTCGAGGATCCCAAAGTGAACCCTCGCGCGCTCGCTGCCCTGGCTGCTCTCCAGACGCGCGCGCAGACGGGCCAACACCGACCCCAGGCCGAAGAAGCTCGACCTCAGCTGTCCCGATACGCAACGTGCAACACGTAGCGTGTTGACACTAAACTCAACACGTAGACTGAAACGGTAGGTCTTGCGCAATGCGATCGCTAATACGCAGGCCAACACGTGCCAAGCCAGCACGCAGCGTGTTGGCGAGGACGTTTTGAACACACAGTACGTGTTGCGCTTCAACACGGGCGTATTGGGGCAGCTAAGAGCTCGACATCTCTGCAGCGAAAAGCACGCACCGACGCGCGCTCTCGTGGAGCCGCAAGTTCGAGTCGCCGAGCCTATCGATGAGGTGCTCGAGCAGGGTGCCCAGGGCGAAGCGGCCCTCGGCCTGCGACACCGCCGCCTCGGTCTTGGCAAACGTGGCCATGAAGAGGTCGCAGGCCGCGAGCCTCACCGGCATGACCTCGGAGCCTCCTCCTCCTCGTCCTCCTCGTTCTCCTCGTTCTCCTCGTTCTCCTCGTTCTCCTCGTTCTCCCCCTCCTCCTCCTCCTCCTCCTCCTCTTCTTCTTCCTCCTCCTCCTCCTCCTCCTCCTCCTCCTCTTCCTCCCCCTCCTCCTCCTCCTCCTCCTCCTCCTCCTCCTCCTCCTCCTCCTCCTCCTCCTCCTCCTCCTCCTCCTCCAGGGCGAGTTGAGACCACGGCAGCTCACAAACGGTTCCTGGACCTCATCTCCATGACCCCACCAGACCCGTTTCCCGAGCTGCGCCCAGGCGGGGCCACGCGGCCCCCCCCCCGGCCAAGGCCAAACACCGTGGTCTCAACTCGCCTTCCTCTGATGTTCGCGCATCGTTTAGCCGATCCCCATCCCCAGCGGCGTGGCCTGGGCCCCACTGGCCGATTTACACTCCTAGATGGGGATATAGGTCGTCCCCCTCGGGTTTCGAGGGGTGTATCCCCAACTGGGGCGGTAATTTGGTGGGGGTCTCGAAGGGGATGGGGATAGGGATGGGGATCGGTTAAACGATACCGAATGTTGGAGGCCTGGAAATGGGCACCAGCACCAACACAGGGGGTTGCCGCCGCTGGGATGAGATGATCCCAGATCCTGGTGTTTGTGGTAGTATCTCGGCCGCCGGGGAAGCCCGAATATTACCACCGAATCACCGAGATCGGGATCGTCTCTCCTCGGTGGAGGTGCACCGCCGATATCGGTGTTGGTGTCCGGCTTCCAAGCCTCCTCTGATGACCTTGTCCCTCATCACATGGTGGAGCAGCTGGCAACTGAACCGCCAGCCGACGGCGCCGCCTGCACTGCCGGCACCCCCTGCAGGGCTGCCCAGCGAGTCGCTCCCGCAGGGGCGGCCCTCCAGCGCCGAGGCCACGGCCTTGAGGGCCTGCGCACGCCTGTCCCACTTCGGCGACTGGAGCGACGAGGCGACCGCGTGCCCGTAGGCCTGGCCGATGCCGGCGTGGATCTGCTGCAGCGTGGCGTCGAACCGCAGCTCGAAGCCGTCGCTGGACTCATCCTGCTGTAAAGGCCTCGCAGATAGGGTCCGAGCAGATGGGGTCGGAGGGTCGTGCCGCATCGCCGAGGCATCGCCGCTGCATCGGCGATGCTTCGGTGACGTCGGCGGAGCATCGGCGTCTACAGCGTGGAGAAAGTCGGGCTCCACATCGCGCCGCATCGGCGGTGCGTCGGCGATGCAGCGCGATCCTCCGACCCCAGCCACTCGAGCCCCATCAGGGAGGCCCAGATCCCCAGCCATGTGATGCTCAGACCCTGCCCATGCGCGCTCCCCAGGAGTCCTGGCCCCTCCCCCAGGACCGGCTCTTCATCCCGAGCCGTTTTCTGACGGTTCCAGGGCCCGGTGGAGGAGGAGGAGGAGGAGGAGGAGGAGGAGGAGGAGGAGGAAGGAGGAGGAAGAGGAAGAGGAGGAGGAGGGGGAGGTGAAGGTGAAGGTGGAGGAGGACGAGGACGAAGACGAGGACGAGGACGAGGACGAGGACGAGGAGGAGGAGGAGGAGGAGGAGGAGGAGGAGGAGGAGGAGGAGGAGGAGGAGGAGGAGCCATGCTTCTTGCCTGACCCGAGGGCGTCTGGCAACTCGGGCCCCCTCTGACTGGCCCGGCTCCTGCCCGGGCGCCGCGGGCGGCGCGGGCGCCACGGGCGGCGTGGGAGGCCGCCGGTCCTCGGGCGGCGCGGTCGTGGAGACCCCGGAGGCCGTGGAGGCCACGCTGTCGGGGACCTCCTTCGCGGCCACGGCGCAGGGCTGCTCCGCCGGGCTGCGCGGGGAGCCGCCTCCCGCGGGCCGCTCGGCCATGGCCGGGGGCGGCCGCCTTCACGCCCTCGACCTGGCGCGGTCGGCGGGGTGCGAGGCGGTCATGTCTGCTTTCGGAGCCGCTCTGCGGCTTCGGAGGAGGCATGGGAGGAGAGGCGGGATGAGGAGGAGGAGCAGCAGAGACACCAGGGTGGAGGACAAGACATGAGCACTGGCGAGCCAATGGCTCGATGTCTTGCTGATTGGGCGGAGGAGGAGGAGGAGGAGGAGGAGGAGGAGGAGGAGGAGGAGGAGGAGGAGGAGGAGGAGGACAGCGTTCTGGCGCATCCTCGCAAAGGGGGCGTCGTGGCCTGAGGCGCTCTCCAAGGGAGCAGCCCAGGAGCCTCGCGGAGGAGGAGGAGGCGGGGGGAGGAGGAGCCGCGGGCCCAGAAGCCCTTTGGGAACGAGTCCCGCTGCGACGCGAGCTGGCCCACCAACAAGGGCCCGCCGCGCACGCGATCCGCGAGACATCACTGGGACTGCCGAGGCCTTTCATATCACATATACTTTGCATTCCTCTCATGCTTCTTCTCACTCTCATCGCAATACCGCCTCACACGCTTCTCCTCACTCTTTCTTCGCAAAAAAGGCTGTGAGAAAACTGGATGGGTTATGCTGCGCGAGTCTTGAAAACGCTTTGCTGTCAGTGCGAGACATGCAGCTCCTGTGGCTCAGCTTGGATAGTTACAGCAGCCACGTGTAGAAAGCCAGTTCAAGGAGATTCGATTGCTGAGCGCCGATCAGGCCTCAACAAATATGCGCCATAATAGATGCCCCACGGTCGTCTGCTGCCAACTCACATACCTGGTATCTCATATCCGACGTCAATCAACGATTTCATGATGTACGCCAGGTTCGCGCGGCATGGGCGTGCGCGTAGGTTTCTCACCACGTCGATCATGCAACCTTGAATCGATCGTGGCCCCGATCGTTCAAGGTTGAATTCAATCGGGTCCAGTGGCGCTACCGTGTCCATCGGTGCTTCCGCGTCGCAGAATTCAACCTTGAATGCCTTCCCCGGCGTCGCCGGCGCCCCAACGCCGCGTGAACCTGTCGTACCCTTCGCTGTCGTTCCCATCGCCTTCACCAACGTAATCGCTACGCAAGGCAGCAGAAGATAACGGCGACATTCCCGACGACGCCCTTTCCCGCGATTCCGACCTACCCGACGACTCCCAGCCCGACACCCCTACCCGCGACCTTCCCGACGACCCATTTTCCGTCGCCACGCCCCACGACCTCGACCTCCCAGACGACGCCCTCCCCCACGACCACGACACCCCTGCGGACGACTACGTAAACCATCAGGCACCACGAAAACCACCGCGACAACCACCAAACACTACGGCCAACACCATGACAGCAGCGAAGCAACAGGACAGCCACCACGACAGCGACCACGACTACCACCACGACAGCTACCGCGACAGACACAATGATAGCCACCACGGCTGCCACCAGGCACCCCGACAGCGACCACGGTAACCTCCAGGCACCACGACAACCACCACGACAGCCTCCAGGCACCACGACAGCCACCACGACAACCACCACGGACACTCACACCACGGCGGCCACCGCGACAGCCACGACAGCACCTCTTAGGTGCAAACACACCACGGCGGTCACCGCGGCAACCCCGATAGCCACCACAGCGACTCTCACGAGAACGCACACCACAGACGCTACCACGACAGCCACGTCAGCCCCGACATCAACTCTCACGAGCAAGTACTCTAAGGCGACCACCACAACAGCCACAACATAACCGCTCACCTCACGAGCTAGCACACCACGGCGGCCAACACGACAGGACCTCTTACGAGCAAGAACGCCACGACGACCCCAACGACGGCCACAACAACCACGGCAACACCTCTCACGAGCAAACACACCACGGCTGCCACCACGGCAACCACGACAGCCGCACCAGCGACTTTTACGCGGATGCATACCAAGGCGGCGACCACGACAGCCACGGCAGCGACTCTCACGAGCAAGCACTTCAAGGCGACCACCACGACAGCACCTGCCACGAGAAAGCACACCACGGCGGCCACCACGACATCCACGGCAACACCTATTACGAGCAATCAGGCAATGAAGGCCACCACGGCAGCCACGGCAGCGACGTCCACGAGCAAGCACCCCACGGCGGCCACCACGGCAACCACGACTACCGCACCAGCGACTTTTACGAGGACGCACGCCGCAAAGGCTAGCACGACAGCCCCGACATCAACTCTCACGAGCAAGAACACCACGGCGGCCTCCACGAGAGCCACAACAGCCACGGCAACGACCCTTACGAGCAAACATACCACTCCCCACGGCGGCCACCACGGCAACCACGACGACCGCGACAGCGACTTTTACGATGACACATACCACGGCGGCTACCACGACAACCACGACAACGACTTTTACGAAGAAACGCACCACGGCGGCGACCACGACAGCCACGACACCGACTCTCATGAGCAAGCACCTCAAAGCGACCACCACGACAGCCACGACAACACCTTGCACGAACAAGCACATCACGGCGGCCAACACGAAGGTCACGACAGCATCTCCTACGAGCAATCACGCCACGGAGGCCACGACGGCATCCACGACAGCCACGGCAGCGACTGTCACGAGCAACCACATCGCGGCGGTCACCACGGCAACGACGACTACCGCCACAGCGACTTTCACGAGAACGCACGCCACGGCGGCTAGCACGACAACCACGACAGCACCTCTCACGAGCAAGCACACCTCGGCGGCCACCACGACAGGCACATCAACCACGGCAACGACTCTCACGAGCAAAGACACCACGGCTGCCACCACGGCAACCACGACTACCGCACCAGCGGCGTTTACGAGGACGCACACCACGGCGGCGAACACGACAACCACGACAGCCACGACGGCGACTCTCACGAACAAGCACTTCAAGGCGACCACTACGACATCCGCGACAGCACCTGTCACGAGCAAGCACACCACGGCGGCCACCAGGACAGCCACGACAGCACCTCTTACGAGCAATCATGACACGTAGGCCACCACGGCAGCCACGACGGCCACGGCAGCGACGTCCACGAGCAAGCACCCCACGGCGGCAACACCTACAACTGCCACCAGGACAGACACGACGACAGCCACCAACCACCAAGTCAGCCACCGCGGCAACCACCAAGCACTACGACCATCATCACGGCTGCCACCAAGCAACGCGATGGCCGTCAAGGCAACCACAACCAACTAGCCGACCACCGACCATCTACCAACAGACCCACATACCAGCAGACAAACCGACCTCCAGAGCAACCGACCAACAGACCACCACTCTTCAACTAACAGACCTACCGACCAACAGACTACCGACCGCCGGCTGGCAACTTTACTTGCGGGCAACCAGCTAGACTGGTGCGCATCACAAATTATACGACGTTCGACGGCCAAGAGGAACAGCTTGGAAAATTGGACGCGGCCTCGGGACGATGGGAAGCAATTGCTCACAGCAGTTCTGTGCGCGTCAAGCCTGAAAATATTGAAGTCGCATTACGTTCCAAATCTTGCTTGTCTGATTTTTTACAGGCGGCCCAAGTGTACCAGTATCAGAACGATGTCGAACCATTGAGAAAATGGAAACGAGGCGGGCGACATTGATCAGCTAATCGCCACCATCTGCGCTGAAGAGACACTGTTCGACCAGCTTTACAGCGCAATACTTTCATAAACGAGTATGATCGGCCGCATTCAATGCACATTGGGGGTCTGGCGGCGCATGAAGCAGAGAGTGGATGGAGGGCATTGACATACTCGGCAGGCGCATCGCTCACGGGGATGTCGAACCTATCATTGCCACGATTGAAGAGGACAAGCAACAATTCGACAGCCTATATCGAGCTATTGCTCGCAATAAAACTGTGTAGCCCCAACAACACACGCACATACGATGCACCTCATCACACATGCGATGTGAAATGCCTCCCTAATCTACCCTTCCCTCCTGGCCCTCCACTTCTCTCCCCCCTCCCGCTCCTTCTCCTACCCTCGCGTCGGCTGGGTACGGTTGTGTGTGTGTGTGCGTGTGTGTGTGTGCGCGTGTGTGTGTGTGTGTGTGCGCGTGTGTGTGTGTGTGTGTGTGTGTGTGTGTGTGTGTGTGTGTGTGTGTGTGGGGGGGTATGCGTGTGCCTGCGTGTGTGGCGGCTGGGGCGGGGGTCTCCCCAGAGAGGAAGACACCGGCCCGCCTCATCTCGGCGAGGCCGAGCGGCAGGTGGAGGAGCGGAGGTCGCTGGGATTCGAGGAAGTGGTGGAGGAGGGCACTGCGCCGGCGCGCATTTGGCAGGTCGTAGGCGGCGCACGCGTGCTCAGCAGCATCACGAAGAGCCGTAGCACACTTCGTTCGTGCGCACATCCAGCAGCACGGCTGTAGGCTTTGATTCATCGCCCTCGGAGAGAGCCCTTGCCAGCATTCGGCGACGGCCATGCAGTATCGGGGTGGAGAGCGGGTCGCATGTTAGTGAGGAGAGGAGGTGAAGAAGGAGTGGCGTTGTTTCAGCAGTTCGTCGCTCCAATTGCAAGCCACAGAGGGCATCTTTTGTCGGCCCTGCTGAGGGCCTTCGGTGAAAACCGCACTTGATCCGTGTATGGTGGGGTTTGAAGGGATGAGGATGCGAGAGGAGAGGTGGGGGAGGAGCCGCTCAGACTCATCAAAGAGTCCTCTCTTACACGTTCAGCAACAATGCTCAGGTCATTTTTGCACTGGCCCTTCAACCATCATGGGCAGTTCCACATCTGCCCCAAGTTCGTGCCGAGCTTGGCACAACACAGAACGGTGCGCGGGGTGGGGATTGATATTGGTGCAGAGGAGAGGATGTTGGCGGAGATTGTGGAAGGGAGGTCCGTGCAATGCACCACTTGTTAAAGTGCAGCCCGCATCCCAAAGACTTTCACTTGTCGACTTCTCGCGATGGCAGTTCAGAGCCAGTCCACTAAGCAAGCAGGTCGCCAGTGGTCAGCTTGGGCTCGTGCGAAGATCGAGAGGAGGTTGCGAAAAAAGCACAAGAGTTCCTGGGACCGTTCGGGGTGAAGCGCATAAGCCCTCGATAGCAGCCCACGGATTGCCGCACTTAGCTTTAGTTTCAGTTAATTATGATCGCTGCAGACTCATGCCATCACAAGTCGGATTCGCAAGACCTCGCGGGGTGATGCGGGCATATTTTTCTGGCCTCCCCGTCGCCGTCCCAGAGCTCCAGGATGAGCACTTGCCTCCGGAGAGGCGGGTGGGAAAATGATGAAGGGGGAGCGGGGGGGGGGGCAGATGAGGAGGGATGAGGGAGAGGCTCCAGGAGGAGGAGGAGCTGCCTCAACCCCCAGGTGACGGGGCGCACGTGGTGGGGCTTGTGGGACACGAAGACCAACGCGTCCCCCTGGCCGAAGCTGTGGTGCGCGTGGGTGCCGTCCGCCTCTGCGGTGCAGGGCTGGCCCACTTAGCCTCCCCTAGTCTATCCCCTCCTCCTCCTCCTCCTCCTCCTTCTCCTTCTTATCCTACTCTTCCCTTCCCCCTTTCGCCGCCCATGTCCTCCCCATCCTCTGCGTCCCTCCCTGTTCCTCCTTCCCCTCCCTCGCGCCCCCCTGACCTGCAGCCGCGCATCTCTCCCTCCCCGCTCGGCCCTCGCTGCCCCTTGGCTTCGGGGGCCACAGCTTGGCTCTCCGGCGGGACCCCGCGGCTGGGAGACAGCAGGTGACCGACGACAGCGTGCGAACACGTCCGGAACCCTCCCCCCGCTCCCGCGCCATCCCCCTCCCCTCTTACAGTCGGGGCCCTGAAGAAGGAACCCTTTTCGTTGCGGAGGGGCTCCGCGTTCCTCAAGTGCTTCGCAGCTTGCCTCAGGTGTTCCTATGTTCCCGATAGGAAGTCGAAGTTTAACTTATGGAAAAAAAGGGGCCTCGTTCCTTATTTTGGGTTCCTTAGGTCAAGGCCCCGACTGTACATCCCCCTGCCTGCCTTCCAGGTTTGGGCAAACCTAAGAGGTGCCGATACCGCCCGCGAGTCCCGGACCTCTTCCGTGATGCGTTCCGAACAGGATGTCGAAGCGAATCCAGCCATGGCGACGAGGGCCCCCCACGAGGCCCGAAAGGCGAAAACGAGGCACATGTGGTAGTGTTGGCACCTTTCCTTGCCTGCACCTCCTTCCCATTTTACCAGAGGCCTTCCAAACTTGGTCAAGTAGATGGAATCGGAGGATCGCGCCGCATCGCCGACGCATCGCCGATGCATCGGAAATGCATCGGCGACGTCGGCGATGCATGGGCGACGTCGGCGTGGAGAACATCGGGCTCCAGCTAAGGGGGCGCAGCTGCGGCGGGCCATGGCTGCCACAGCGGCAACCAAGACGTGGCCGCTGAGTTCTTGACTCTCATGGGCCAACCGAAGACGACGGCGAGGCTGAAGGCCAACATAAGCGCGTGCATCGATGAGAACCCGCCGACCAATGACCTCGACGAGCTCAGGGCCTCCCACGTTGCCGTCATCAAAGCAGGGACCGCTCTCAAGAGAAAGATCACTGAGACTTGCGTCGAACAAAGGGATCCACATTATATGTAGCCGCATTCCTGCACGCAGGACATTGCAACGGAGATGGAGGGTGTCCTAATCATGGTGTGAGAAGCTTTCAACAAACTCATGCCTTGACATGTGGTCAAACTCGCAAGCCTGTTTTCCAAACTGGTTAGGTGTTCCCGCACGGAATCGTATGAGCTCCTGGATAAGATGAAGCCATCGGACCTACCATTCTGACCTCAGCGCTGACGTGATCGATGACGCCCGCACCTTGCAGGCCACCAAGCTGCCCTTTATGCAGTAATTGGTTATGGGGATGGACATGTTCAAAAACATGTTGAATGGTACGGTAATGTTCGAAAAGACGCAGCACTCAGCGCAGGGGTGCAGTCGAGACATCTTGCCCTGCGACGCATTCAGCTGCGACCCCGACTACTCCGTCGACGTCCCGATGAAGTTCGGGGCTTTCGATACGGCAATGGGCGTACCAAAGGTGTTGGCCAAGAACCATGCCAACTACCGCGTGATTGAGACTAAGAAGGAAGATATCTCTGCCACCCTACTCGCGGACTCGCACAAAGAGGTGGCCGCTACGTTGGAGGGCATTCAATTGCCAGGACACCCCAAGGATCAGCTGTCAACGTGCGGCTTCAAGGGTATCTTCAAACCGCAGATCAAGACGGCGAACTCGTCAGCGCGAAATCCGGGACTGAATGCCAAATGTCGATGACAACTTACGCACTCAAAATTTGACGACCTGACCTCGACCAATGATTACAAGACTGCCCAGGCCTAAGCCACAGCTGGCCCCGCACAACCAAAGAAATGTGGCACTGATAAAACAAGTGTAGACATACATGGCGTTTCCCACCAACGCCTGCTATGTGGCATGGCATTGTCCGGGGACGTTTGCCGTCCTGCGTGCTTGGTTCACGCCCTTGCGCGCCATCTTACCGACGTTGTTCCAGAAGGCTTGGATGCGGATGGCATCGGTGGCCGAGCGGCCAAGGAGGAGGAGTCCCACCCCTCGGCGGCCGTGTCCTGCATCCCTCAGCGGCTACTTCAGGAGACCTTGCAGCTGTGGGGTTCTCCGAGTGACTACCTGAGGAGGGAGGAGAAGGAGAAGGAGGAGGAGGAGGAGGAGGAGGTCCCAGGAACAGCAGGAGAAGAAGGAGGCCTCCGAGCAGGCTTGGCAGGCTCAGACCTGCTCCGCCTGGGGAAGCGCCAGCGCCACCATCGGTGGGTGAGGTAGCGGTTGCGGATGCAGAAATACTTGAACCTTTTTTTGTTGCCTTGAAAAATCCTTCCAGGCAGCCATTGGTTCTGGGCGACACACATTCTGCAACTGCAAGATGAAGATGAAGATGTCACGGCAGAAGTACTTGAGCCAGGCGTGCACCAGCTCAGGCAATCACTTCAGGACGTTGGACTGGGCCAACACACCATCACGCCTGCCCCCATCAGGTCGGATCCGAAGATGTGCCTTGCTTTCGATGTCCATGCTACGGGTGTGGCTGACGCGATGCTCTACTTCGTCGGGCAAGTGATTGTGTCCGCTACCAGTCAGCTGCAACATGAGAAAGGAAACCAGATTGCAGGCATCAAGATTGGCAACATCGTGCTCGAGGGCTTCAACTGCCATCTGTTAATGATGCAAGACGCTGCGTTGGCAAATCTACAGGTCGCACAATGCGCTCTGGCATAGCCCGTGCGTGTGCAGAGCGACCCCGAGAAGGTCAACATGATGGCTTGTGGGCAGAAGATCGACGTCGACATCCCGGCTCGCGTCAAGGAGAGGACGATTCAGATGGTCATCCCGTACCCGAGCCCGAAGGACATGCGCGCTGCAAGTGCTCTTACTGCTAAATCCTCTTCCTCCTCTCCTTTTCCTTCTCCTTCTCCTTGCCGTTCCTGCTGCTCCACACCCCTCCCCCGAGGTGCCAAGACCTCACTCGACCAGGGGCCCGCCTCCAGCTTTCTGAGCTCGGTCGGTCGTGACATTGCCCATTCGCGCAGCATGGCGTAGGGCGAGGCAACTCTGGATTGAGTCGGCAACTGCGAATGGTCTGGAGGTGGCGCGTGGCCCGGGCCTGGGTGAGCTCCAGAAGGCGCCCAGGGTGGAGAAGCCCAGGGAGCCCGCCAGGAATCCTGAGTCGTCGGATCTAGAGCTGTCCCTCTTGGACGAGGCTGCTGGGAAGGCCCTTGCGCACCAAGTGCGCGTCGGGACCAGCCTTGCACAACGAGGTCAGGGAGGAGGAGGAGGAGGAGGAGGAGGAGAAGGAGGAGGAGGAGGAGGATCTGAGGAGGGGGGGAGTTCGCACGCATGTGCATCGCGCCACGAACGGGTTTGCAAGCTTTCTGCTATGTCTCTTGCTCAGAGGTCTGATGTGGACGCTGCATTTTGCCAGGGGTGGATCCGTCTCGTTGCACGCCTTTACAGACAAGGCGGCGCAGGCTGCGTGCGAGTTAATGTGAGATGTTGTGGCACTCGACTTTGAACACATGCGCCTCGCCCGTGCGTTCTGGAGAATCCGTAGTGCATCGAGGCGGCTGTGACAGAAAACAGCTAAGCAGTAGAGGTACACTTGGCATACCAAATGACAGCGATATCATGTTTCGCAGCTCGCACGCCCCCTCTCCCCCTTCCCTCGCTCCTTTTGTCTCCCTAGCCCCCCGAAAAGCTGTCTCCTGCCCTCCTGCCTGGCTTCCCCCTGAAGCATCTGTTTGCTGCTGCGCCCTCCCACGTCAGCCTCCCTCGGCCGGCACATGGCCTGGCCGCCCCCGGGGGGGCCGACACCCGCCAGGAGGTGCTTCGGGGCGACGGCAAGGAACCGGGCCATGCGCGAGATGGCACTGCGCCCTCACGCGGCGGCTCGCGCGGGCCGCGGGCGCGGCCCGCTGCACTGGTGACGGGAGCGCTCGCGCGCGACCCTGCGCGGGCAGCCTGCGCGCCGGTGTCGGCGCAGACGGCCCCCCGAGAACGCCGCCCCGCAGGCCGACCCGCCCCGCAGCCCCGCGACGACGACGACGACGACGACGCGGACGACGACGCGGACGACGACGCGGACGACGACGCGGACGAGGACAACCGTCGCCCACTCGATGACATCCTCAGACTTCCACACGCACCCAAGCCTCCCCGGCCAGGCGCGCGGGCCGCTGGCCGCGGGCAGCGAGCTCCGCCCGCCTCCGTCGTGCAGAACTCCCCCCCGCCGAAGTCCCTCCCCGGCTCGCTCAGCATCACGTCGAGGGTCAGCAGCGAGCCGCCGTCGAAGTGCGTCGGGTCCGACAGCGCCCCGCCGGCCGAGACGAGGTGGTGCTCCAGCACGCGGGGCCTCTTCGGGACGGGAGCCCAGGGAACCGAGGATATATGATTTGTTTTTTTGAATCGGGTGTTTTCTCCTGGGACTTCGGCCTCTGGGGCCCGCTATCGGGCCCGGGGACCATCAAAAACGAATCTGGGACGAAAAACGAACCCCGGGGGAGGGGTCGGGACCTCTGGGACGCGGATTGAAAGAATCAGATCGGCGGGTGTCTGGCTTCCAGGACGAGAACGATGTCATGATATCATTGGCTCAGGATGCGCTGCAGGATTTCTGTGGTATCTAAGTAGCCCTCTGGTTTCAGCAGCCCGTGTGGAACATGAGAGCATGTAGGAGATCAGGGAAATCCTGGAGCGGATCATTCCATCATGACCTCTGGCTCCTCTGATCCTTGGGGGGCCCAGCGCGGTGTGGTGGCACACCGCGCGGCGCCCTCGGACTCCCCGAAGACCTCATCGCGCTGCCCATCACCGCACTGCCTCGGGACCCTGGGAGGCCCCACTGGCCCGAGACGTCCTGGGAGAGCGACGCAAGCAGTCCCAGAACACCGGGCGGTGACTCTGACGCTGACTCACCGCACGGTGTGGGCACCACAGTCTGGGTGCCCCCCGTCTCGATCCTGGAGGAGGAGGAGGAGGAGGAGGAGGAGGAGGAGGAGGAGGAGGAGGAGGAGGAGGAGGAACACACCGCGGCACAACACACTGGCAGCTCTCGGAGCTCCGCGCGGACCTCTCTCGGATCGGCGCCGGGCACTCCTGGCGCCGGGCACTCCTGGCGCCGCCTCCGGCGCCGCCTCGCGCGCCAGGAGCGGTGCAGCGCAGATCCTAGCAATCCGCGCGGAGCTCCGAATGCGATCGACGGAATCCAATTCGTGTGTACGTCGTTTTTCGAGTAGGGAGACGACTACAGCATTGATTCACCCCAGGATTGACTTTCTCGCCTCATATGTACGGTACGTTTGTAGATTTGCTGCGTCGATCTTCGTGGACTCGGCGGAAAGATCACTTCTGGGGCAAATCCATGCTGTGGTCGATCCCCTACTCGAGCTTTGGTCTTCGAGCTCCTAGATGCCTCCTTGATGGGGTCCGAGTAGATGGGGTCGGAGGATCGCACCGCATCGCCGATGCATCAGCGATGCATCGGCGATGCATCGGCGATGCATCGGCGACGCCGCCGACGCATCGGCGGCGTCGGCGTGGAGAAACGTGGGCCCCACATCGCGCCGCATCGACGATGCATCGCCGATGCATCGGCGAGGCGGCGCGATCCTCCGACCCCATCTACTCGGACCCCATCAAGGAGGCCCAGTACTCTCAGAGCGTTCCGGAACGCTCTGGAGCGGCCGCGGCGGCCAATACATCCTCCAAACCCGCCGATTCTCAGAGATTTCGAGTGATCCCGATCCGATTTTGTCCCGATCTTCGCGTCGTCTTACGGGGCCTCAGCCGGGCCGCGTCCATGCCCCGCAGCAGGCCCCAGCCGCCGGGCCCGAGGGCGGCCTCCAGCGCCGCCCCCCGCAGCTTCTCGAGGAGCGCCGCGGCCAGGTGCCGGAACGCCCCGCCCGCCTGCAGGTACGAAGGGGCCCCAGGACACACACAAATGAATACACACAAATAGAAAGATTCCCCCCCTCTTTCCCCATATTTTCTGGGTCTTTGTCTTCCCCCCCACTTCCCATATCTTCCCCTATTTTCTGGGGAATCGCCGATTCATTGTGTCTGTGTGTGCTTCTTTCCCTCCTGCAGGTAGCGCGTGCGCCACTGGCTCCCGGCGGCGTGCTTGTGGTGGTCTCGCGCCGCCGCGTCTTGGCTCACCTGCTTCACGAGGGCAATCTCCTCCGCGCCGAGCAGGTGGGGCACCAGCACGGGCCGCATGCCGCGGGCGCGCTCCGGGGGCGGCAGCGGGATGGCCCCCGGCGGCGCCTCCGCGGCGGCGGCCTCGCCTGCGGAGCCGGCCTCCTCGCCCTCCTCCTCGGAGTCCTCGGCCAGCGCGTCCTGCTGCTCGCACAGCGCCCGCACGACGGGGCCGATGGCCGCCACCGCCTCGGCTTCCGCCGCGCCATCACCGCCGCCCCCGCGCAGGGCGCCGCAGTAGCGCGCCAGCGGCGAGGGCAGCGTGGACCCGTCCAGGGACCACGCGCACTTGTCCAGGACAGCGAGGACGCCCTCGAAGAGGCCCCGCGGCAGCACCAGCCCGGCCCACTGGCGGCGCAGCCTCCGCCCGCTCGCTTGGAGCTGCCACCCGCCGGCGCCGCTGGCCACCTCCACGACGGCGTCCAGCAGCAGCGAGTGGGCGCTCGCGAGGGCCCGAGTCGGCAGCGCGCCGCGCCGCAGCGGCGAGGCCCCCGCGGCGGCGCCCAGGATCGGAGCCAGCGCGCCCAGCACGCCCCTGTGCGCCCTCCCCAGGCGGCCGGCCCGGAGGTCTGCCAGCCACGGCCGTGCGGCTTCTAGGAGGGCCTCGGCCGTCATGACGGTCAGGTTCCGACGCAGGGTCGGGTCGGGGCCGCCCGCCTCCTCCGCGCGCCGCAGCAGCGCGCGGGCGGCGACGCACCCGCGGCTGGCCGCGGCGGCAAGGTGCCCGCCACGCAGCCACTGGTCGCGGCAGCCGGCGGAGCAGAAGCAGGCGAGCGCCCCGGCGCACCCGGACCTGGGGAGACCAAAAGGCACCGATCCCGCTACTCCCCGAACCTCTTCCCGAAGTGCGTTCTGACCAGGATTTCGAGGCGAATACAACGGTGGCGACGAGGGCCTCCCAGGAGGCCGAAAAAGGGGAAACCGAGGCAAGGGTAGCGATATGGGCACACTTTCCTCCTCTGAGGACCCGCCCGGCTCGTCGGCGCCCGGCGCGGCGAAGATGCCCGGCGCGGCCTCGCCGCCCAGGACCGGCAGCGCGGGCGTCTTGGACGCGAAGTCGAGCCAGCGGGCCAGGGCGGCGCCGTCGCCCTCGTTGTGCCGCACGAACTCCAGCAGCTCGGCGCGGCGCAGCCGACCCGCCGCCAGCGCCAGGGCGGCCTGGGGCGGCCCGCAGGCCGCGGCGCACGAGGCCTCCTTGATTAGCAAGCAGTGAAAAGGACCCCCAACACCGTTTGGGAGGCGACCAAACAAAAACAGGAGGCCAACATCAGTAGGGACAGAGGGGTCTGTTGTGCAGATGTGTCGGACCAGACCGCCCAGATCTAGGATCCCCCTGATGCAAAGGGACGGGGACCTCCATGAGGCCACGGCCTCACTATATACGTTCTTCGAGTTCGGGCTTTCGTTGGTCCTCATCAGTGACTCCTGGCAGAACAGCGGCTGCTCGCTCGCGTGCTCCTCTGGCGAGCGGGGCGTCTGCGCCGACCGCAGGGGGCCCTCGCGGAACAACTCCTCGCCCGCGCGGGCGGCCCTGCCCGCCCGCAGGGCCGCCGGGGGCCGCCGCGGGAAGGCGGGCCCCTCAGTCGAGGCGGGAAGCAGGCGGGCCCTGAGGGGCGCGGCTCTCTGGGCCCCGGGGGGGAGGAGGTCCCCCAATGTCGGCGACTCCGAAGGGTGTGGCCTGCAAAGGGTGCGGCTTGCAACTGGCATCCCCGGGGGCACCCCGAGGTGCGGGCGAGGATCTCGACAGAGCTCCCCCGCCGCGCCCCGAGGAGGCCCGACGAGGGCAGCGTCGTGCTCCCCAGGCCCCGACGGTGCCGATCGCAAACCACACCCCGGCGTAACCATACCGTATGTAGTCGCCGACGATGTGCCAGCTGTTCGGCCCGAGGCGCTTTTTCCGATTGGGCTCTCTGGGCGCTCGTCTGCGAGGCTTCGGCGCAGTACCAGCGCGGGGTACCAGTCGAGGCCTTTTTTTTTTTTCTCTGGTGCCGCTGCGGGGCACCTGCCGCGGCATGGGCTCCAGCAGGGAGGTGCTTCCTGTTGGTGGGGCTCCGGGATGCGCGCAGACGTTCCCCGCCGGTCAGTCCCTGCTGGCCTCGGGAGGCCCCCCGAGTAGTCCCAGCTGGCCTCGGGAGGCCCCCCCGAGTAGCCCTCGGCGGTCTCAACACCTGGGCGCCGCCTCCTGCGTCGCCCCTGGGGCGCTCGGCGCCACAAGGTTGAGCCCTGACCATCGCCCATGCGAGAACGGTGGGAGAGACCTCCCCAGGCATGATCGCATCGTAAGAGGATCAGGACGGGAGGTTTGGGGCCGTTTTCGGCCTCCCGGGGCCCTTATGCTGGACCTCGGGAGCGTCAAACAGCGATCCAGGAGGAGAAACGGTTCCAGGGGAAAGGGTCGGGACTTCCAGGGACGCCGCACTGGAAAAATGAAGACGTCGCATGTCTGGGTCGGCGCGCCGCTTCCCTCAGGACCCGTTTGCTTCAGGGGCTGCCTCCAGCCACGCGGATCGCGGCGGCGCGCCGACCCCGCCCTGGCCGCCGCCACTGCCGCGGTGGGCCGCCGGCTTTCTCGTGGCCGCCGCCAGCACGCGCGCGGAAGCGGCTGCGGGCCTCCCCGCAGGGCGGGGGAGCAGGCGGGAAAAGGAGGGAGAGAGGAGGGAGGAGCAGGAGGAGCAGGAGGAGGTGTAGGGCAGGGAGGAGCAGGATGATGATGCTGCTGCTGATGCTGCTGCTGATGATGATGATGATGAAGATGATGACGATGATGCTGATGATGATGCAGATCATGATGATGCTGATGATGATGATGATGATAATGATGTTGATGATGATGATGATGATGATAATGATAGTGATGCTGATGCTGCTGCTGCTGCTGAAGACGATGATGATGATGATCATGACGATGATAATGCTGCTGATGATGATGATGATAATGATAATGCTGCTGCTGCTGATGACGATGATGATGATGATGCTGATGATGATGAGGCGGAAGAGGAGGAGGAGGAGGAGGAGGAGGAGGAGGAGGAGGAGGAG